ATCTCTCAGCAAGCTCACGGGCAGCAGCATATTTTGCAAGCGGGCGATGCGCTTTCACTGACAAATTTGTTATCATTGACAAAGTATATACACCGCTGTGGAGACTGCCTTTAAAAGGCAAGCTTTTTTTGGTTTATGTATCAAGAGACGTGGGCCAATAAGTTAAAACGGACGTAGAAATCAAATAAAATGAACAGGCACAAAATTTCTCACACTGTACTGAGATATTACACGTGTCACCGTGGGATGAACGCTAATATGCGTAAAGCAGCAAAAAATTCCGAAGTTTGCAAACCGAAAAAGTATGAGTTTTTCGCAACATTTAAATGCTCATCAAACCATCTGCGCTTTGGCTTATTGAAGTGATCCATACTATACAGAAAATCAACGCAAAAGTGGAGGGGCGGGAAAGAAGCTGTAGGGCGGAAACAGAAAATACAGAGCGCCCTGAAAACACGGGTCAGGGAGGTTAAGAAAACGAAAAAATGTCCAAAGGCATTTAGCAAAACAAACTTTTAAAAACCACTAGAGAAAAAGGCTGCGCATTTCCAAAAACTGAGATCATTAAGGAAAATGGATAAACGAAATTATCCAGAAACACCTGCAAGATAGCTGAGATGCGAAGGCTTACTTCATGATAAAGTTTGCGATGTTGATGTATATGTATATAAAATATGAAAATTAATCAACGGAACAAGGACTAATCAAAAGACGAAAAATTGAGCGGCTAAAAGGCAGCCAATCAGTAGGCAAAAGATAAGGAATCGAGTATGTATGATGAACTGCATACAACAGTTAGCATCACAGTACTCTAAGGAAGAACTGCGCATATTCGTGAAAAATCACTTCGCTAAATTTTATAACGTGCTCAGTTTCAGAATAAGTGTGCCTTAGCGGCCTTTATAAGAGAAAAAGATATTTTTCCAATTCTGTGATATATCTGGTAACATTTACGGATCCAATCTCAAGCTTAAGACCACATACTCTGGAACAAAAGTCTGTTTCCTCGATCTTGAAATACAGTGTCATAATGGTATTTGCACATTCGATGTGTATAATTAGACTTTGGACTATCCCTTTAT